GTGGCTTTGTGAATTGCAGTGGTAGAATGGGGTGAAAATAGTGGGTGTTGGGAATTAAGTCGACGACGTGGAATTGTATTTGAGAAATTCAAGGAATTGGAGGAGTCGAGGAGGTGAGGGAGATGGAGACGATTCCAGAAGGGGTCAAAACAATAGGCGAGGGAGATGGAGATGATTCTAGAAGGCTTGGAGGAGTTGAGGAGGCGAGGGAGATAGAAATTGAGGTGATTTCAGAAAGGGATGAAAAACAGTAAGGGCAGAGTTAAGACAAACGACGTTGTTTTGATTTGGGACTCCAATTTTTTTTTAGAGGCAGGATTGATGCGCACTTTTCTGATATATATATATATATATATATATAAAAGCAAGTCCTAATGTTACCGTATTTAACTCTTATGGAAACAACTAATAAAACGTAAATATACATAATGTAGAGAATCATTGAGAATTGATAGCCTATGTGATTGTGCCATGATTGAAGAGGCAATATCCTGTGTTTCCTTAACAAATATGATGTGTAAGTGTAAGTAGATATAAATGTGAGAAGAGATCCACTTATATACAAAATTTACATATCATATTTATATAAAATTTTAACTATTCATCTCTTTATTTTCAATTGTTAAAATTTATTATGGATCCACTTCCTCCACTTTACCCCATACCCCATTCTGTCCATCATCCAATCAAGGAAATATCAATCCATATAATCATATGCCTTCTCAAAATCAGTCTTAAAAATAAAACTCTATTGTTTCCTCCGTTTCACATCATCCACAACCTCATTCAACACCAGCACACTGTCGACCAATTGCCGACCCCCAACAAAAACTGATTGTAAATCACTAATTAAATCTGCCATTACAGTCTTCAATCGATTGGCCAATACTTTAGCTAATAGTTTATACAAACACCCAATCAAACAAATAGTTGATACTCCTTGAAATGTACAGGATTTAATTTCTTCGATATTAATGCTAAAAATGAAAAATTTAAACCACGCATTAACCTCTCATGCTGATGAAAGTCCTTTAAAAAATCCAAAAAAATCATTCTTCAAAGTGCTCCACATAAACTTTGTAAAATTAAAATGAAAATCATCTAGACCTTGTGCCTTTGAACCATCACAACTCTTAAGACCATCTTCTATTTCTTCAATGGAAAAGGCCCTCTCCAGCTACTCCCGTTTTTCCATTGATATTCTGTTGAACTGTATCCCTCCCATTAATGGACGGTTCCACTGAAATACCGTACAGCCTCCATTTTAACCAACTTTGGCTTCTCAATCCACGCACCTTCACCTAAGACACCTGTTATTGTATTCTATGCTCTCCTAGCCTGAACAATCCTATGAAAGAAATGGGTATTAGCATACCTAAGACAAACCCAAGTATTCCTTGATTTCTGTTTCCACTGATATTCTGTTGAACTGAATCTCCCCCATTAATGGACAGTTCCACTGATCCTTCTGAAACAATTCACTAAAATACCGTACAGCCTCCATTTTAACCAACTCTGGCTTCTCAATCCACCCACCTTCACCTAAGACACCTGATATTGTATTCTGTGCTCTCTTAGCCTGAACACTCCCATGAAAGAAACGGGTATTAGCATCCCCAAGACGAAACCAAGTATTCCTCGATTTCTGTTTCCATACCGCTTTCCTCTTCCTCAAAATATCCCACATCTCCTGAAAACATTCTCTTCTAATTGCCACCTCAGTCTCATTCAACTCTACCTCCTCGCTTTTTTTGTCCAACATTTCAATCTGTTTCAACAATTTATCAACCTGAGGCTCCACATTACCAAAAACCCCTTTATTCCATCTTTTAAGATCCTCCTTTAATAACTTCAATTTCTGTTGACATTTGTAACCCGCCCAGCCTTCAACCGTCAGCTAATACTAAACCCCCACTTCCACCCACAACAAGGCCTTCCTTTGTCTATCACACGGAGCATACACATCGACAAAGTTGCACTTTAGCTTCTCATGACCCCATTCACCAGATATCCCAATGAAACCACTACCCTCTATCACACTCTGTCTAGCAAAACTGTTCTTATTCCATATGCACAACAAGCCTCCTGAACTACCCACTGATTTCTGCATTATCCAATCAAAATCTTCTAAATTCCATAAGGTTTTACACATCGAAGCCTCAACCTCTTCCAATTTCGTTTCTTGAAGAAACAAAAAATCAGGATTCTCCTTCCTAGCCAACCGAAGAACCTCCTTCCTTTTTAACAAATTACCTAGACTCCTAACATTAAAAGAAATCAACTTCATAATAGAAAATACGTACCCACACTCACCAGCAAAAACACCGCCCCCGGCTTCAGGCCTTCTCGAAACCGGCTGTATCCCTTTCCTTTAACGATACCAGCCTGGACATCACTTCATCCTCATTATTTTGACATTCAATACCCAATCTTTTCCCCAATTCAAACAACCTTCTCACTTCCTCCAGCTCTAATTCCCTTCGAATCAGACAATTTCTGTGTTAGATACAGCCATCGGACAATGAAGCACTAGCTTGCCGAAAATCCTGCCTCGTCTCCGCCCACAGTACCTGCTCCTTTCTTTCTTTTTGACTTCTAGTTGGTGCCGTAACCCATCTGATTCCCATCTCCCGTTATTCGTCCGCTCCTCCTAACCTTGCATAAATCTCACCCAAACTCGTGTATTTTATTAACTTCTAGATTCTTCCTCAGTAGCTGGCCTGAAATGGATATAGGGACGCCACCCGACCCACTTTCATCCAGCTGCAATTCATCTCCAAAATCACTTGGCCCAATACTTTCCTCCCTATCTGGCCCATGCTTTGCAAGCCCATTGACATCACACTATTTAAAATCACATTTGAATCCTCTGCCGTTACCAGAAACTCTTCATCAATATTTCCATCATCCTCGCCTGAAAACCCGGCCACATTTAAGTCATCATCGTAACCGTCATCGGAAAATTCAGAACCTGATTCCGAGCTTGACGGATTCCGTCGTTCCTTGACCAACCACCAGTCCAGATCCATCAACGATTTGCTCTTTGTGTCTCCATCAACGAGCATCACCTCTCCCAATAAAGCTCCTAACTCTGTGAAACATCTCTCACTCCATGCTTTCAATGGAACGCCAGCAAATCCAAGCCATACCATTCTACTTCTTGAAGGCATAGCCAATAGAGAGGTTGTGTGTATCCATTCGAACCATGACTCTACCAAATCACTATTACACTTGAAAAACTCCTCGAGACATCCCTCTGTTTTATCCAATAATAAAACTTGTCTACCTCCTAACAAAGCCACATTCACCATTAATCCATTAACATCGAACCTATTCTGGATTGTCATTACCATATCTAACGATCAAACCACGGCAACCATGCTTTTCTTCAACCAAGCAACCTCCTCCTCTGTAACCAAATTAGGACTGGAGTGCAACCTCACCTTCGGTATCCTTTTCTGTCGATGGCTCAACCACCCTATCAGCTATGTTCACTGGCACCACATCTGCCTCTAACAACTGGACATCCTCCTTATCCGGCACAATCTCAATTGCCATTGACCCTTTCTTCATGTCAGATTACCGTAAATCATTATTCGAAGAGTGTCCTTCCTCAATGGCCACCCACTTTCCAGCCACCACCTGAGCATAAGTGACCCCAGGACTAACCTTTCTATCTACTCTAACCCATTGTTTCTCCTGCTATTTGTTCTTTCCCCCCCAATTGCACCTCCTTCCCTCTTTTCACGTTCTCTGCCAACTTGACCTTGAGACGATAAGAATCAATCCATATCTGGTTTAACTTTCTTTCCTTGTCAAATACATTAGAAACCTAGGACATACGAAACAAAACCAAACCTACTACGGCCTCTCTTGTCCCTTCTTCCCGGAGTATACACATCTGCTACTTTTCCATATGACCAAAAACTATACCACAAATCCTTTGCAGTGCGATTTGCCGGGAAATCATAAAAAAATATGTAGTTACCCGCCCTATAAATTGCCTGCCATAACCTGGAAGCTGCCGGCTGAAGCCCTTGCCACTGTCCCTGGCTGTCGAAAACCCCACTCGAAAACCAGCACCCTCTCTCGCTCTCGCCATTCGCTCTAAAAAAAAGGTTGTAATAGATCCTAACTTATATATGTGTTTGTGAGGGATTACTGGATTCACTCACACACATATATATATATATATGTGTGTGTGTGTGTGTGTGTGAAACATTACTGGAGATCAACTTGTATTGCAAAAATTAGAGGATTAGACTCTAAAACTTGCGTTGTTTCCTTACTTCTGAGTTTGGGTCAAAGAATGGGTTGGGAACATCAAACGGAGCCATTTAGCCTGTAGTCGCGTGTCTCTCCTTTATTGCCAATTTCCGGCAATGGAGTCGTCGGCTTCACCAGTTCTGATTTTTGGTATCATTTGCTATAGAAAACAATGGAAACTCATTAGATATATCTAAGAATGGAAGTCTACAAGCTTGAAGAGATATTTGCAGAAAAACTCACCGTTTCGCTGCGAAATAATCATGGTGTTACAGTCCAATTCAAAATTAAGGAAAAAGAAGAGAAAGAATCTAGAATCAAGGGAAGAATCAAGAAGAAGGAGAATACGAAGAGAAGGAAGGAAACAACTTATAGTATATTTCTTCAGATACCCTTAAACTTGATACGCTGATATTTTTAGACTCACAAACCAGTAAAAGTCCCTAAAATATCCTCATTTACAATTCGGTATGTAACATGGGGGTGCTGGAAACAGAAAGAGGAGGCCAGCTGTGGTTGATCATTGGCGGGCATAGGGGCTGGTTCTAACATAGAAGGGGGAGACCGTGTACATCGAAGAAGGTGAGCGAAGGAGGAGAAAAGAAAAGCGAAAAAAAATTTAGAGAAAATATATAGGGGCCTAGAACGGCGTAGCTTTTGTTTCTCATTTCGCTTAATTTTTTATAATTAAGGCTGATACCTATTTTTTTTATGTGTATAAATATATACATACCGAAAAGTATGTTGTGCAATCTTAAATCATTAAATTGGGGGTAAATCACATAATATTAAAGGTTTTTTTTTAAATATTTTTATTTTATAATTTAAACTGTAAAATATAATTTTTTATATATATGTATATGAGTTAAAGTAAATGCACATGTATGTTCTTGATTTCCTTTAAATTTCGGTTGTTTATTTTTGCTTCTGTACCATAAGTTAAATACAATCATTTTGAATACTTATAATAGAATTACATTCAATTATTTCACCTATGAAAGTTATTCCTTCTGAACACTGTATATAATTCATTTGATCGCAGTGACATTCTCGAAAATGGATGTAATAGGCGTACTAGCTCAACTGCTTTTGTCAGTACTAGTGGGTAAGCATTAACATCCACTCAGCCTTTCTCATTTTTAATTCACTAATTTTTCGGTGCTATATCTTGATTCTTATGTATAGAAATAAAGAGCATATTTTTCCACCAAAAAATAAAATAAAATAAAATAAAGAGTATATTTTTTATGAGCAAAGAAAATATAAATTATTCGGATTAGTTGTTCAAATATAATTAATATATTAGTTAATAATTTTTGTTATTTATAATTTAAAATATTTAATTTATTTGATTAGGATTGTTTAAATCTGATCTAGACTAATTAATTCAACAAAAACTAATCCAATATGAGGAAAAGTCAATCCAAAAAAACATCAGTTTAGATTAATTTGAATTATAAAATTTTTAAACCGGTATAGATAATTTGGTTTGAAATTTACTTTCAAACTAATTCAGTTTACTTTCAAACTAATTGAATCGCTTTTTTATAAAATAATTTTATTAAATAATATAATATAATATTTTTGTATTTTTTTGATAAATATTTTTTTAGAATTTTTATTTTTGTATACAAATTGTACATTAAATTTTCATTTCTTGTCCAATAAAAACAAAAGCTCTACTTTTGGAACCCTTTACTTTCTTGAGCGAGTATAGTGAGGGCTTACATGTCTTGGTTACCTTATTAATTCTTAACTCTTTTTTTTTTTTCTTGTTTTCTTCTTTATTCTTACTTCAACCTAATAGTTAGAATTATCATTTTGTTGTCTACGATATTATTGTGCCTTATCATTGTATTTTCTATAACTTGATACTCTGATTTTTTATTTAATCAAATATATTTAAAATAATTTTAAAAACGGATAAGTATGACTAAATCACGCCAATCCTATTCAAATTGAATTGGTTTATTTATAGTATAATAATAGATTAAATTGGTTTATAAATTTTATTTATCAATTAAATTAACTTGGCTTTAAAAATATTAAAATCCAATACCACAAACACCCCTACATTTGATTAAAATCACCAACTAATAGCTGTTGGTCAAAAGTTAAAACTAACACCAACTAAAGCTGATGCATATATGTTCTTCTCTTTCTCATTTTGATAAAGTACAGTTTTAATTATTGAGGTTAAAGCCAACTATAGTCCCTTTATTTTTAATTTCTGGTCATTATCTTTCCATGTACTTACAAATCATTGAAAATCCTCCATCTACTCTTTCAAATCATATTGTTATACTCCCTTTACTTTAATTTTTCATTACATTTATCTCCCTCACCGAACATCATTTATCTCTCCCCTAATATCGTTAAATGCAATAGTTTATGTTTCTTTGTTCCATTGTTTTTGTGATCCCATAAAATTTCATGGTGTTTTGCTGATGGTGCTACGTGTTTCATCAACGAAAATAAAAAATTATTGCTCCCATAAAAATTCATACTTCCTCTCTTTTCTACCTTCAAAATTATTATTAACAGTATCCTCTTGTACAAATAATTACATATTTTAGTATTGGCTTTTAGAGAAAAAAATCATCCACTTGCAATACTTTAAATAAGAGCCGCTTGGGACAAAAAACATTAGACTTGTTTCTTTTAAATTTAAAAATAAAGAATTTTATATAATTGAAAGCAACATTAATAATTCTATTGACACAATGCACTCCAAGAGAGGTGGATTGGAGTTCAAAAATTTCTTCTTTTTGTAACTACAAATTAAAAATCCAAGAAAGAAGAGAAGAAAGTTTGCATAAAAATTTTATAAAGGTTCAATCCAAAAAGCTTGCATAAAGATTTTATAAAGATTCAATCCAACTACTTGGCACTTAATTCTCTACCTTAACTTGACTCATCAAGGATTACTTTCACACTCTCTACTAATACTCGAGTAGAAAAAAGAGCTACCAAATCCTTTTTTTTTTTTTTTTAAATAGCTTTCACTCAATTTCACCCCTTTTCAATCTAACCCAACAAACATCACTACTAAGCCACTCTTAAAGGAATAGATCACAACCCCAAAAAGTCACTCACAAAATAAGATTACAAAATTGCAAGACAAGGTCACTTAATGATCAAATATGCAAGTATAAGTACAAAGAATTGAATGTTGACAAGAGAAACCTCAAGTGAGTTGTTGAAATTCTTCATTGAAGTCTCTGGAAGCTCATAAGTGTGTCCAGCAACCCTATTTATCTTTCTCAGGTAAAAAATAGCCATTTGGGAATATTAGATTGCATTAAATGCTTTGTAGACTAGTCAAATTTGAAAAACTAGCAGTTACTATATGGTTAAGATTCAAATATAGCTTCCAATAGTCAAATCTTTAAAAATCTAATTTTTAAAGCTTAGATTTTTAAAGATTTCACTCTTCAACCTCGGAGTTTAATCTTTAAGAAATTTTGGCACTTGGTCTAAAATTCCTCATTTAACTTTAGTCAAATAGAGGAACCAAGATTCGAATATCTTCCCTAAAGATTTGAATCTTCAAGTGAAGATTCGAATCTACCATTTGCCTTTACAAGTCTTAGCACTTTCTATTTCTTGAGTTGAATCTTTAATTACTGACAGTCGAATCTTCGAGGCCCAAGAATTGAATATGCATATTAAGAGTTGACTTTTCTGTTGTTTATGCCTTTTGCTTTATTTTAGCTTGAGAGTCTAATGTTTGAATAGAGAATCGAATCCATTTGCTTCAAAGTACGAATGTAGAACCCTATAGTCAAATGTTCATCCATTTCCTGCTATTTTTTAAGTTTTAAATGGAACCATATTAGAGTTATTCAACTACACACTTAAACTCAAATTCATTAAATATTACAAAAAATTTTGTTACCATCAAAATCACTTGAAGTTCAAAAAATTCATCAAATTCTAAAGTCAAACTACCATATTCATATCCTACTATGCCAAAATTTATATATAAGAATAAAAATTTTAAAAAGAAAATTAAATTAAAATCAAAACCTACTTCTTCTTGCAAGCCAAATTCA